TGTGGCAGCAAGTTCAGCAGGGAGAACAAACTTGAAGTTCACATTACTGGCAAGAGCTTTCAGTTGTTTCCATGGCTGCTTCTGTTGCATGGCTTGGAGCAATTGGTCGCTTCCAATGGCCTTGATGGCCTGCGAGGCTCGCTGCTCAGACAAGTGTGAGTAGGAACACCATGGGTGCAAAGCTCATCGGGAAGGGATTTGATCAAGGCTCCTCTGCCACCTTCACCCCAAACAATTGGGCAAATGCAGGTGTGGCCTTCATGCATAGCTTGGACAAAGGAGGCTCGCATGTTGACTCGCATGGTGTCAAGCTCTTCAAGGGAGTCAAGCAAATCCACATCAAGAAGCACATGGGCAATGAAAGCCAAGGCATGGGCCCCGCACAGCCGATGGGATGGTAAACCATGCGGGATGCGGTGTATCACCTCTTCCTCAAAACTAAGGTGCAACCCAATCCAACGCATTTCCCCATCAAAGATGTCATCATCCACGACGTCAGCAAATGTATGGACAACGAGAACGTGGCCCCAGGGACAATCCAAAGAGGAGCCAGTGATCACCTTCAATCGCCACAGAAACAATTTGATGGCCATGAGCCTTGACCTTTGGAAAGGCCGTACGCCACTTTTCAGTCAGAATGTGTCCCGCATCATCCCACTTCAAAGAATTGAGCGGTTCAAAGCTCAGCACAGTTGGTTTGGGTGGGAAAGCACCAGTGGAATCGTGGATGCGCTGATCGACCAGGACTTCGCAAGTGAAACCTGATTTCATCCTCACACATGGCTTTGCCATGGTCACTGAGCAATCTGAATCGGTCATCAACTGAAATGCATGTGTGAGACCTACCTTCAATCGGCTGGCCTGATGAGCTGGACGCTGCTTCAACTGGGGCAGGCCGGGCTCCAGCATGGTCAGGAGGGGATGACGGCTCAGACGGCCATTCACGTTCTGTGTGGTCATCATTGTCTCCTGAACGCCAAATCCACGGGCGAGTGACTTCACCAGGAGCAGGCAAGGACCGAAGAAACTTCTGACGAAGGCAGTGATGTTCCTCCCACACGCTGAAAGGGTAGTCCCAACGCGAGGAAATCCAGTAACCTGACTTCGCAAGAAATTGATTGCTACTGCACCACGGGCACTTTTGCAGGCAAAGGTACGTTGGGAATGATCAAAGTTGATTTCAACAAATCCCAATGCATTGGCCAATTGGGTGAGGCAAGACGACAATGCAGCAGGCAAGACAGCATCTGCATCATAGGAGGCAATCCGAACGGTCTGTCCCCAAGGCGTGAGAACAACAGGGATCCAGCGCCCAGAGACACAGAAGACCGCAATCACCTGGATTTCAACATTATAGATTTCAGGGTGTGAAAATGCGGACAACACTTCTGTCAACTGCTGGCAACTTGCTGGCGAAGGTGCCAAAGTTTGGCGATGTGCTCAATGGATGGCATGTCTGTCCCGATTCCAATCAAGTTAGAAACTTCCCATGAGACTGGTGTGAATTGCTCTCAGGGCAGTAGTACTCAACATCATACGGACCAAAACGAGGATGGTCCCTGGCATTCCGATCAGGGGCAAAAGTCCTGTGAACCGGGCCATATGCAACTGATGAGGCAGTCTGAATGGAAGCATCACCTGCTCCACAAGGCAGCCTAGTTCCCTCGACCATGAAATGGAGTGGCCCGGATTCCTGAGAAGGCGGCAGCAGGAGGTTCGTCCATCAGCATGGCCAGTGGGCACCAGTTCATCGTCAACGAAGGTCACAACATTACAAGCCAGGGAAGCTGATCCATCAGCATGGCACGTGGGCGCTGATCCATCATCATCGGGCATTCTAGGGAATGGCCCGGATTCCCGGAAAATGGCAGCATCATTGCAATCTGGAGAGATCTGGTCATCAACTTGGCCAAAAGGCTCGTATCAGCATCAAGCATTCTAGGGAGTCGCCCGGATTCCCATGAGCGGTCAGCCTGCGGCGGAGCAGGCAAACGATGCACATCATCATCATCCTCATCCTCATCCTCATCATCATCATCATCATCATCATCACACAGGTCAGATTCTGGCATTCCAGGGGATGGCTCGGATTCCCAAGAAACCACATCTGATTGAGGGGAAAAAACTTCAAAACTTGATGAACAATGCCGCAACCTTCCTCTACAGGCATTCAGTGGCCCGGATTGACTGTTCAAGTTAGTGGCATCTGATGTCGGCAAATCAGTAGCATCTTGTGTATTGGACTCATGGGCATTTCACAAGCTTCCTCATCCCCAGCGCTTCAAATCCATGGCCGAATGACGAATTCAGATTTCTGGACCACGTCAATGAATCGTCGGCGTACGGTTTGGTGCACCAATTCAGCCTCAGCAGCATTAATTGGGAGCTGAGTTCCATGGACAGCATTGTGCAAGAAATGAATGGCAAAAGCACCACGTTTGTCAGACACTGGAAACAGCCGCTGCTGGCGAGAAATGGGGATTGAGCAGAACCCAAAACCAAAGCAAGACTCCCAAGCATCTGGTTCAATCGAGTATGGTCATTGACAGGTGCATCCCATGTGTACACGGTGGCATGTGAGCCACACGGCACAATCTGGAAAGGGACCCAGAGCTGAGCAAGGCGACAGGCTCCTACTACTTGGACACTACGCTTCAGGACTTCAGGATGTTCACATGCCCAGCGCTCAATCGGAAATGCGCAATCATCCAACCATGCTGTCGAAAGCAGCGGATCAATGGTCAGAATGGCAGGGTATGGGCCCCCAAACGGAGCAGAGCCGGATGCAAGGGATCCCAAATGATATGCAATCTCATCATCAGAGCACAAGTTTCCCTGTACATTCAACAAAGCCAAACGATCCGCCGATCTCACAAACTGTTGCCGGAGAGGCTTGAGTTTGTGTGCGTCATCAACACGTGGCACCGCAAGACGGACAAAGCTGACACCGGGCCCCAAGAGGCATACGGCACCGTCGCTCCTGGTTGTGAGGAATGGACTTCATTATCTGACAGGTCACAGCACACGGGGACCATGGAATGGTTGGGGAAATCCCTTGTTGAGAGTGCTGAAGGGTTGGCATGAAAACCCAGCAGCCAGAATAGCCGCTCTGTCACATTCTTCCAGAGGCCAGCAAACACACTCAGATCTCCAATGTCACCCACCACATGTTGAGCAGAAGAATGGACTGCATGGAGTTCAATCATACGTGGATTCACATCTGTAGCAACCATCGTTTGGATCCTAACAGCACACGCACCATGAGAAATGCCACCAAGTCCACAACATGCGTCAATCAGCTTGGAAAAGTCCGACCAAGCAGGAGGCAAGTGGTTGAAGATCTTGGTGTTGTCTCCGCAACTCATCTTCGGCAGAGGGTACTGTCCATCCACCACAGCATCACACAGATGGTGTATCCACTGTATCCAACCTCCAATTGGGCCATGATAGTGCACCTTGACACCAGAGTGGACCATCTGCAGCACGTGCGCAGCATGACACGGGTCAAAGACTTCCAGTCTAGCCACAACAATGATGTTCTGCCCCTGGTCGACGTCTGAGAAGTCCATGGTGATATTCAAAGCCATGGCAAACGGGGCGAAACAGCCCAATGATCGGTGGATCCGGCCGTACCAGCTGTACCAGCTGGGAGCTGTTGGGCCACCGCGGCTTATTTCAAACCACCAACCAGCGGGTCATGGACTGAACGGGGTCATTGCAGCATGAAACATCAACATAAGTAAGGCCCGTTGAAAATGGATTGATATAGTTAGTGTGTATATTACGTACTATATATATAATTTATATACAAATACAAATATATAATGTGTGTATACGTGGATTGATGACCATCCCCCATTGCACGTCTCTGTGTATTGTATAATCTAAGTATATCTACCTTTTGACCATGGCACATGAGAAAGCAAGGCGGGATCATGACTAGATTACTGGGGAATTTGGGAGCTGGACACAAAGAAGCATTTGAGACCATCAATCATGGTAACGATGGGGGTATGAACCACCCAACATGGGGATACCAAGAGGTTTATTTGTCGCAAAATCACCACCAGGTATATGAGTGCCAGCTAAAACAGGGTAAAACCAGCAGCCAAATTGCTGTCTGAAAAGAGGCATACTCCCAAATCCCAAATAGGCAATTTCAGGCCGCGAAATTGTTGAGAAACCATGGGATTTCGTGGTTTTACATTTTTTTCAACAAATCCTTAAATTTTGAATAGTATATAATCACCCAACAAATTGTTAGCTGTCCAGATTTTAGCAGGCAAGCGATAAATGACTGGCTAAATCTATGCATCCGCTTGATGCATCCGCTTGTGACGTGACAGGCCGGATGGCTGGCTGGCACTGTGACACGGTCGCAGAGATACCAAGTTCAAGACCTGAAAAACAAGATGACAAAACATCCGGAAGTTACAGACTGGAAAACTGTTTGGAAAATCTTACCTTTTAAAAAACGGAGACAACCAAAATGGAGAAAATTGGCTAACAATTAATAATCCTCTTGATTTTCACAACGATTCCCAACTCCAAATCCCAGCTCTTGATGGTTTATCCGCATCAAACATCATCAAACTCTACATGTTTTTTGTGTAAAGGTATTTTGTTGCTTTTTTTGTTGCTAAATCTTATGCTAATTTTATGGTATCTTGCGCATCACATTCCAATGGCGTACCAGCGTAACACAGCGGGGGAATGTCACGGGCGAGGAGTGGTAAGCGAAGACCGAGTGTGCAACACCAAAAAGGAAAAAACATATGAAAAAAGGAGGACCATGGAAGATCCCATGATAATTGTTTTGTTCCGATACAACCAAAGCCTGTTTCTCCTTCTGAAAATTGTTAATTAACATTTTTTTTGTCAACAATTGGCCGTTTGTTTTCTCGGTTTTCAGAGCCAAAAATTCCACCAAACCAATGACAGTGACTGTCAGAGTCTTCTCATATGGCCGGGATGATCGAAGGGCTCTGCTCTGCTTCGCTTCAGTCGAAAATCGTGCTATTGGCCTTGGCAGAGAGTTTTTTCGGCCAAACTTGGAGGGTTGAAACATGTTGAAACTTCGCGGCCGGCCCGGCCCTTGGGATGATGTACTTGCATTGGATTCCACCTGAAGCTAGCTGTAGGCCCTGGATGAAGCCCGAAAAATTGACCAAGTGGTGTCCACAACCGCCTCTGCAAAACCAAAGAAAGGAAAACGACCAAGTCTTCAACCGCATTCTGAGGCAAAAAACAATCCCCACCCATATCCACCCATCCTTTTGAGGCACCGGATTCAAGACCACCATGAGCATGCATATATCTGGACATTATTAATATATCCCAAACATTCCCAGACTATGAAAATACCCAAGTCAGGTTTCTGGAGGTATCTTTGAAAATGACTGCACTTTGTCGTCCGAATCCTGCTAGCTAGGTGGCATCTAACTATTCAAATGTATTGTATATTCACTTGCATTTGGTCTAAGGATCATCCCCCACTCTAAAAAACTGATTAAACATCTTCACGATTCCCAAGCCATTGGCGGAAACCCTCCAATTCTGCCACCGGATGCCTTTTATTTCGACGACATCCCATTCCCATATATTCCCATATGATCCAATGTGTGGCATATTAGTTATAACATATTATAACTGGACCATGCTTTGGATAAATCTTTGGACACATATTCTGGTTGGTGGTATACCTACCCCTCTGAAAAATATGAAAGTCAGTTGGGATTATTATTCCCAGTATATGGAAAAATAAAATTCATGTTCCTAACCACCAACCAGTAATAATCAATGTATATGAATAATCAATGTACTGTAATGTGGTTAAAACATGTTAAAACATGTTAAAACAATAATAAACCATCCCCCAAATCACCACAAATAGGTGGTATAAACCAATTCCAAACGGGTAGTTTGCTATTGTTTTAACCACATTATATGCCTTGCATGGAGCACCTGGGAGATGACGTGCATGGATTTCCCGACAAAAGGTGGAGGTGGCTCATCGATTTTGTCAGGTCGAAAATAAGGGGTTTCCGAAGTCATAGGGGTACCTCCAAATCATCCATTTTATATTATGGTTTAAATGGTTTACTATATCAAATGGTTAACATACTTTACTAAACTTGTTTGTTGGAGATAAAACTACTGGGGGTATCCTATTTAGTAGGATTTTCCACTATTATAAACCATTCATTTTGGATATTTTGAACATACCCATTTATGGAAACCCCCATTTATGGCGTCTCAAATGGGAACTTACCTCAACACCGAGGCAAATGGGCAGTCCCAGTTCTACCAGACATCAATACGTCGAGTCTACGGAGGACACGGACCTAAAAATCCCTGGTTGAAAATTTGGGAGGTAATCCAAAACAATGACACTCTGCCAAAACATGTTTCCCCCAATAAACAATAGCCGTTTGGGGATTTCCAAACTCCGGGGTTGAACCACCAGCTGTTCACAGTCGTGCGCTTCGTGGATCTAGCCACAACACGCCCAAGCTACCCGAAATGGCAATCAAATATGGCAGTGGAAACCCGAAATCGCTTTGAAGTAGATCCTTCAAAACCACGTATTCTCCAGTGCAAGTTCGATGTATGCTGCCTTGACCCTATTCAATTTCCCTAGGCCAACAAATCAAGAGGTTGCTAAACAAGGATTCCTCCCGCCTGAATCCAAGGATCCCCAGAACGGGATTTTTTGTTGCTCAGTATAGTTCCAAGAATCACCCAATCATGTAAGCAAAAATATATCATACATTGACATACACAGAGCACATGCTTGCAATTTTCCCCAATTTTCCTCTTAAATGTCCCATCTTTTCTCGTTCTTTCCCATCAATCCATCAGGTGCTGGTGGAAACTCCAAGGTTTAACTGTCCAACCACCAAGCTTTTCCATCGGAATCTAGCCATGACACCACATACGTCGCAGCAAGCAAGCGCTCTCTGGCTCGCGTCTTGTTGCTCGGCCGATTCTGCACCAACTCCTGGCGAGTCGACTGCGGCTCGACCTGGGGAAACTGCGAAAAATGGATTTCTTTGGACCAGGCAGAAAAGTCAGTTGATGTGATTACCCTCTGGATATTAACATAGCCATGGAAAATCCCTTATGAATGGAGGTTTATAGCTGGGAAAATCATCTATAAATGGGCAATTTTCCATGGCTATGTTAAATAGCCAGAGAGTAGTAGTTTTTTTTTTACGGCGATGTGATCGCTAACAAACATAACAAACCCACTATTGATATGGAAGATATTTTGCGTTTTTCCCGGTTTCTAGGTGCGACTTGTTGTTCTTCTTCCGCATCCGCCGCCTGCGCCACTCCTCCTCCCTATATGGCGGGCTCCAGATCGGGCCACGCACGGACCCAAACATGCCAGAAAAGAATGTCAGAATACCTGCCAAAAAGATCCAAAAAGAAACCTCTGAGAGAATGCCAGAATAGATGCCAAATAGAATGCCAGAATAAATTCCAGAATAAATGGCAGATAGAATACCACAATAGATGCCAAGCTGCCAAACAAAAATGCCAGAGTAGGTGCCAAATAGAATGACAGAAAGAATTTCAGAATACATGCCAGAAAGAATGCCAGAAGAGATGCCAGATAGAATACCAGAATAGATGCCAAATAGAATGCCAAATACTCTGCCAGATAGAATCCAGAAAGACTATCAGAATACACGTCAGAAAGAAAGCCAGGTGGATAGCTTGTCAGACTAGATGCCAGAAAGAATGCCACAATGGATGCCAAATAGAATGTCAGAATATATGTCAAATAGCATGCAATAAAGAATGTCAGGTAGAATGTGAGAATAGATGCATGTCAAGTAGAATGTCACGGCTTATGCCAGAAAAAATGCCAGCTCAGTCTGAGCACGCACGGACCCGAGCACATGCTAGCTAGAAAGAGTGTCAGAGCACAAGCCAGAAAGAATTTCAAATAGAATGTCAAAGAATGTATGATATATACAAATATATATAATCCCAGATTATTTTCAGAAACTATGTCAGAATGAATTGTGATTAATTGTCAGGGTGGGGATCACTCGAAGGAAAACATATGTTTTAGCTTGAGTGCAAACCGCAAGATTGAAGCGTCTGATTGAAATGGTTGGAAGGACTGCACAAACTCAAGTCCAAAGTATGATTGTCTCATTGTAGCCAAGCGAATATGCACTTGAAAGTGGGCAGACCAGGTATTTCGAACAAAAGGTACTGTAGGGTAAACTAAGATAGAAAAACAATATATATATATATACCAATGACCAATGGTTGGTTTTCCAAATCTATGTTGGTTTAATGGAGTGTAAATGCTACTTTGAAGCTGTTTGCAGCAAACTCGGGACTTGAAGAATGCGGCTGCTGGACTTGTTTGAACACGCGATTGCAGAGATGTGTTTCAAGAAGTAGCAATTGAGCCCATGGAGGCTTTTCTGCCATGAGATAGTATAGAAAGGTGTCCAAGAAAGTCAGTCCTGGAAGTGCTTAAAATGCCAGCTTACCAACAATTAATAAAATTCACAAGATTCGTACTGCATCGCATCACATCTTCGTGTCAAATCTTGTCTGTTTGGTGTTTTAATGTTTGGATATGTTTGGTTGTATCTTACCCAGCGGTTCCATCATGGAATATCCACTGTCATCTTTCTTACTCAACACGCTGTGAGGGGCTTCCATGTCGGCCATTTATCACTTCTACGTGTTTATATACCCTCTGGTATTTTCCCATTAAAAATTGTGATTTCCCATAGTTTTTTGTACGTTTACCAGAGGGTATATGGGTCAAACAATGGTCAATGGTCAAACTATAACATTCGAATCCTCTTAACGTCATCGAGCCATCAAGCCAAACTACCCATCATATCCCATCCATTCCCATCCCATGAAGTACTGATTGGCTCGCAGGGGTATCCCCAATAAACTACCGTAGTTAAAATAACCAACCTTGACAAACACGAACTACGGTAGTTTATTGGGGATCAGTGTATGGTTAGTTTGTTGACCTGATTTTTGTATGGTTATCCCAATAACTCATCAAACATGACTTATCACATCACTCCCCGTTTTCTCTATTGGATAACCCCCCCTTTTAATGATGCTAAAATTTTGACTGTATGATCACCAACCTTGACAGTGTCTCAACTCTGTCTGCCGGTGCATCCCCCAAACAATAGACACCGTGTTTCCAGGATCAGAGCTATACGTTATCCCTCATCTTTTGGATTACACAAGTCAGAGCCAGTGTGATGTCAAGACCTGTTGTTTATATGGATGTCAAGGATGCCGCATGGGACCACTGATCCCGAATATCCATGAATATCCTAAGTAACATGCTTAAATCCAAACGCGTAGGGCTTGCGTTTTTGTGAACTTTCCCAAACAATTATCGACAAAGCTGTGGAAGCTTAAACCCTAACCCAAAGCCCTAAAAGCCAAAATCCTAAAAGCCTAAATCCTGAAACCTAAAGTCAAAATGATTTCGTTTAGCAGTGTTTTCGTTCATCCTCAGGTGACAAGTATATGATATTGGGATCTATTGGGTGTGTTATTTGGATGGCGAACGTCCGGGTTTGGGCGAACATGCCCATGACTATCCCGCTAGTGGGATGATGCCTTGCAATAGTCTATAATAGTACTGTATTACTCACGAACTAGCTGATGTCATACATCAAGACTCAACAGATGTCTGAAACTTAGGTAACCCCTTCAAGTTCCCAGTTTGTCACATCTTTTAACATCATCCTCCCCCATGTGTCACCATAAAATGAAAGTAAAAGGGGGACTTTGGAGACCCAGTTATCTAACTTTTCAGGGATGATCATCTCAGAGCCTGCAAACTTGGTGTTTGACGGCTGCTGGCTGAATCCAATCCGCACCCCCTCAGTGCGATGGGATTTGGATTCATCGGATTGACCTTGATCATGTTGAACACGTGGATGGAACGACTCCCAAACAAGATTTGTAGATTTTTATAGATAAAATAAATAAATAAAACACCCAAACAAGATAATATACAGCCATAGATAATCTTTGGGGAGTGTTCCTCTTTCCAAGCATAGAGAGCATCCCTCGATCCAGATTCGTTCTGGCTGCTTTTAGTATACGACCATCTGAGCCATCTGCTTCTGGGTACCCATTGGAAAGTCACAAATCCTTAGGAACAAACCAAGGATCGCAACAAATCGCGGCCTGGTTGAAAATGGAGAAAAAAAAGGCCTAAAGTTTTGAAAATTGGGTGTGCCTGTTTTTTTTTTTCGTACACCCTTAAACAAAATCATCGAAGATTTTACTTCAATCATGAGATTACGGGTTTTCCAACTTTCAGACAAACCCAGATCAAAACCTGAGGACATTTCGAGGGCAAATCTGAGATGCTATGACAGTTCCTTACTGCAACACCCGTCCCATGGCAACTTGCTCTACACCCATGCAATTTTGCAGATTTTGGTCTCGCAGGTGGGTTGAGTTTTTGCCACCTGACAGCTTGTGGTGTAATTTTACCAAATACTTTGGTACCTGACTGATTTTGGGCTGTTTTTTTTGGATTGTCGTGTTTCATTTTGCGTCAGGTCAGTCAGGTGGCTGCCCATAGATGATTTCACCAACCATAGAGGTGTGACTCTGATGACCAAGCCGTTTTTTTTTTACAGTTGTGATACTGGTTGGTGGTTGAGCTCTGAAAAATCATGGACGAATCGTCAGTTGGGATTTTCTGAAATTTCCAACTGAATGGAAAATCATAAAATTCCATGGTTCCAAACCACCAACCAGGATAGATAGTCTATGTTTTTTTTCAACATCGGCACATCCAGGCACAGGGCCAAGTTTGGGCCTCGAGGTTTACAACTTCATTGGATTCGTGGGATCGTCCCACTCTAACTGTTTAGGTTTCCATTGTCGCAAGTGTCGAAACAAAACATGTCGACATGGCGCCATGGCAACACGTTTCACATTCAGCTACTATAATTAATGTGATGCAAATCCAATCATCAGCCTCAATGACTCAACTGTTGGAGGCATTATTACTATGACCCGTTGTGGTGATACTTGCATCTACCAGACTGCATTTCCCAGGTTTCCCTTGATGTATCGGGCCACCTCCTGCAGCCACGGCTGATGAATGATGGGAATCCAGAACATGATCCAGCCGTTTTTTGTATGGAAAACACAAACATCAACCAACCAGAAACCACTTTAACCATGTTAAGCGCTGACAAACCATGTTCAACCAACCATCATTTTTATAATGGTATACATATAATATCATATAATGATATCCGAAAAATCCTGCTCATGATTCCTGCTTAGCCGCTCCGACATTTCATGGTGGGGCCTGGAATCTCAAGAATCGGTACCCCAGAATCCATCAAAGTCCGATTGGGTTTTGTTACGATAAATCAGTTCTCCTATCATTTAAAAATGATTCTGTGAAATGATGCTGAGATTATGAGAAATCATGTTGAGATATTGTAGTATACAAATAATTCTCAAATGTTTCCAAAAACTTCATTTTCTTCAGGAAACATCTTCTTTCTGATTTTTTTGGAATGCTAAAACCCCTGCTAAAACCCTACTGATCTAGGGCTGGTCTTCGACATCCTAACAGTATATGAAACCCGGTTGTGGCTCCCTGACAAGCTACCCGAGGTACTTGGATCCATACTAGGGATATGTATAGATCATATCATATCCTATTATTTTATCTATCATATTATATTACATTATACTATATTATACTATACTAGATTATATTATATTGTATTATAAATTACATTACATGATATTATATTATGCTATATTATATTACAGTAAAATATATTATACTATATCATACCATATTACATCACATTCTATCATATCTATCATATTATATTATATTATAATACTATATTATATCATATTATATTGTATTATACTATATTATATGTTTATTACATTATATTACATTGCATTACATTATATCATATATATACATAATTGATATATCTACCTCAATGCTGGGTGATTCTTGTTTCGTACATCAAAAAATAGCTCCAGCCGTGTTTCTGAACCTCGCCCAGTGACGAACACTCCGTAGGAAGATCTTCAGGGACCGAATCCATTGTGGAAATCCGAGTTGAAGTTCCGGAGATCAGCTTGCTTCGCCTGTGACGTGGCCGGCATTCACCCAGCTGATGGATCGAAATGCTGTAGCTGAGTGTAGCTGCGTGTAGCTGAATTTGGAGCAAAAAAACATGAGGCCAGACTTTCTGAGTTTGGCCAAAGTTATGAACTGAATGGACGTGAATGGACATGAATCCATGGAGCTACGTGACCCATCGTGGCCCAGTGATGTTAGTTTGTTGGCTTATACACCATTATAAAACCCATGAAAACTCTAGTTCTATCTATCATAAACCAAAGAATTCAGCCCCTGAAATATCTCAACTTCGCATGCTATCGAGGGAAATGGTTATTGTTTGCTGTTTTTGCATCTACCATATACCTAAAATTTACCTCATTCACTACATAACTCTCAAGAATCACTGCTAGATCTGCTAGGTGAGAGTGACTCTCCGAGACCTTTCCGGATCACTGAAGAATTTTCATCCAATGAACATGCCCCATGCAGCGGATGTTTACCAACTTGTTACCCGAATAATCACCAAAAACCTGCAGAATTCCACGGGTGCCAAGATAACCTCGGGTATGTCCACATGCCGAGGAACAACCCGGGTTTCATGGGGAAACCTCGGGGTTTGGATTTTCAACCAGTACTTTATCCGTACTAAACCAGTACTTCACCCCAACCCATATTTTGGGAAGAAAAATGCCCAAGATTTTGCAGGAAACCTCAGGTATTAGTGTACACCCTTGAATTTTTATGGGTTTGGAAGCTCAAGGTATGGTATATGATGGTAAATGATTATATATATATATATATATATATAGCGAAATACCTGTACTGTAAAGGTTCCCATCGGGTAGCTATAATCGCTACAATCGCTGGTCAATCATACCAACTGCATCCAACTGCGACCCCGCACATCTGAATCGCAGGGGGGTTTGGTTGTATCCGAGTTCACCTTGTGTAGAAATGCTATACTGTAAACTGTAAGTGCGTGTTGTACGTGTGGGTAATGGGCAATCCCGCCTCAATCACGGATTTCGTTGATGATTTGGATAATTATCCTGCATGTATCTGCATTAATCAGAACCTTTTTGTCTGCTTCGTCAGGCTTGGTTCTTTGTTGTTCTGATGTGTTTAATGATTGATTGTTGCTGTTCTTAATTATTGATTTTCGTTGTTCTCGTTATATATTGGTTAAGTCAAAGAGATAAGTGACAAACCAAGCATCAAAAAGCGCAACATACACATGTGTGAAAAACAACATGCAATTTGATACGTCTCTTCAACCACATATTTTTAACAGATGATTTTGCCGATAAATCACGACGCAGTGCCTGTCAGTCGCGGATGTTGGGTCAGCACGAATCTTGGGTTTCTGAACAATCGGGTACCCTAAATCCCTTGAAACATCGCATTGTCCCCAATAACTTGCCCCTATAAGTGAATTGCATTTCTTAGACAAACACAGATGTCATAGTGCGTAAAATTTGCTGATTATAAATGCCCCAGTATGTCCGATGCCTAAAATATGTATACAGTATATATTGTTTAATTATATAATATTACAAATATATATATATATACAATTACGTCACTAATTATATTATATATCACTAATATATATATAAATAGAATATCACGGTTGCCAAAAAATATAATCATTACAGTTGCCCAAACCCTCCCAATTTTGGAAGTCTCAAATTTAATTCTAATATGTTGACCGTGTTGACCCGTTTTACGGCGCACCTCACAACATCCAAAGTTTGTGGTCTCTCCGGCTTGGGTGCCGCTGGCTTTGTTGGGCCCGACAACGATGTCGACGATGTCGACGATGTCGTCGATGTCGGCGTCATTGGGGTCATAGCAGGCAGTCAGGCGAGCTGACTGTCGGCCCTAAACACAGTGCCAAAAGCAACAAATGGTGGCACTTGAGCCAAACATGACGGAAGTTTTTTGTGTGATCAATGGCAAGTTTGAATGGGGAAACATAGACGGCTCGGATTGGTACTATGGTAGTAGCATAGTACTAACATATACTTTAGGACAAGACCCACGTTCTGGTTGGCAAATAATGTGGTAAACCCGATATAACCCAATACTCAAATACAATCAACCACCTCCAATTGAACCAGAAATGGATGGTGTACAGTGTAAACCTTCCAAAATGATCCGGTGTTGGGTTTACCACATTACAATTTCATGCAACTTGAGGCCAGGAAACATTCGAAGTGGTTGTTTTATGTTGTTTTTCTCCTTGAAGTGACCGCTTTTCGTGGTTGGGCCATCGCGGCGGTAAACCCAGATAGCAACATCACATGTGAATCCATAGGGAAAACCTGGTAAAACCATAGCCCATTTTTTCAGGATTCACAAATTGTGGGATGAATGACCATACACCAGAAATACATATTATAGAAATACCATGGGTAAACTTAAGACCACGGCACATATATCATCATCTAGTTGGTGGTGCCTTGAAAAATGATGGCGTTCGCCAATGGGTTTCGGATGACATCCCATCTATCCGAAGGAAGTTTAGAAGTCAAACTTCCGACAATATGGACAGATGAAAAGCAGAGCAGGGCAGAGGCAGAGAGAAGAGGAAGATTGAAACTCTGTTCATGGTAACTGGGGCTTTGGTTTTTGTAACTGGGGCCTTGGTTTCTGAGCAAGGTTCCATCTGAGTTTGCTATGTCAAGCTCAACGTGTTACAAAAATATTTATTTGTTTGGCAAGTTAACTTTCTCTTGACATCCTTTTGGCCAAAGAACACTTGGTCTTGGAGTAGTGCTGATGTATGCTTGGCAGTCCAACACTCAACACCTTTAACAACAATACTTTTATGAATCAGTAAGATAGTTGTGGGCAACATTCCTCGAAGAGTTATGGAATTTTTTTGTCATATGGATGCGAAAGCATTCTCCTTGAAAATTGTATTTGCCAGTGGGGAGCAGCAAACAACAGGGTCCTTACTAAATTTTTGATATCAAGACACACAGCCCACAGCTTTACTGAGGCCATGTTTTTCCCAAAGTTGAAAGGCAGGGGACCCAACACAACAACCATGGACCTAGGACCAGGCACACACAAATTGCCCCAACACAGCACGGCTCCAGAGTCCAGAGCAGCCATTTTTCCGCAAGGGCTGAGGGAGCTTCTGATCTTGGTTTCAAGACCAAAGACTTCCAAAGACCGTGCAACCAAAGACCTTGCAACCCAAGACCAAGAACCCAACGTCCGGCAACCTATTGGCCAGGCTGTCGGTGTGTCAGGTGGTTTTCAATGTGGGGCAACAGATCTTTGCAGCCGCAGATTGTAGGCCAAACAAGATGCCCAACCCCATCATGCCTGAGGAACTGGCCTGCAGCATGTGTTTCATAGTCAAGCAGCAATCCCTTGATATCATCTCTGATGTGCCAGAGGGTGCTGTGCGGGATCATTTTGTAATCAAAAGGCATCACAATGGAAGAGCTGCTGAAGCGGTTGTAGCTCTTGTATCTGTTTGTCCTGCATGGACCTTTGCAACGAGTTTGGACCAGTAACGGTTGTCCTTGAACATGTCTTGCAGGAACTCGATGACCTGGATCCACTGCTGCATGGTATAGGTGACAGCATGCTTATACTCATGATTTGGGTCTCCGAAGCCCTCAGACAGCAGGTCCCTCATTTCCTCCGCGTGTTCTTTCAGGACATGGCCATTCGGCATGGCAGGTGGCCGAAGACCAAGGACCAAAGAACCTGGCCACCAAGGACCAAGGACCAAAGACCAAGGATCAAAGACCAGCGGGCACCGAATCCGAATAACTAGCCCTGCTTGAGTCCTGCAAGCAGCAACAGCACAGCACAAAGTTTGGGGAAATTCAGCCAAATCATGCCAGTGCGATCACAGATCCAAAGATTGGAACCAAGCACCAAAATTTGTGGAAGTGAGTTGCGTGGCCAGCACTGTGAAAACAGCGTTGCGACAGCGCGAGTCACTTAGAAACAGTGCCACCTCACCCGCGAGCGTTACTTATTCCCAAAGTTTGTATCATCTACCAACTAGCATGCTTAAGCAGTACCACACATCGCATTGCACGCTGCGCAAGCCCATTATGCAAGATAAAATTAGCTCCTTCCTCCTCGTCATTCCTCATCATCAATGCGGCAACGCGTGCTGTCAATGACGCATAATTCTTTGTTATCCCCCCGCAATCTTCCTGCCTGTAGGGAAGACCTCGAAAAACATGCTAGATTAATATTTCCAAAGATCAATCAATCTTGGGAGCACCATGAACTCCAAAAAACCTCAATCAAATCAGTTCCATCAGGGGTTATGCCCATCAAACTAGCAGTTTAGTTGAACTCCTTAATGCTGCGTGTGTGTGTGTGACCCACCACACAGGCTGCAGGAAAACTAGTGATTGAATTGCAAGGCGGTTGAGATTTGTAGGAGGGGTGTTAGTTCGAGAACGAAGCGAATAAGTTCAAAAGATGACGCCCACAAAAACAGGTGTATATATAGATATATAATATACAATACAACGGCACGTTGGAAGCCAAAAACAAAATTGGACCTTTGAAGGGAATTCAGAACAAAATTATTCTGATTGTGTTTCCACTTGACACAGGTAGGCGGTTCAACAGCTACCACAGTGGTTTTATGCTTTTGTTTTAACACATGTCATGTTTACATGGTTCATAGAAGTCAGCAAGGGGCAAAAATATTTTGTGATCTTAATATACACCCTGTATCACAAGGTCTTTAAAGAAATAGAAAGCATTTGCTGGAATGATGCAGTCCAAACGCAGGTCCTAGAAATCAGTGCAGAATACGAGAAGATTGACCCCAAACATGTTCTTGTGGCTTCACTTGGCCCAAAAATTGCACTAGGTCCTAGCGCAATGATGTTATGATCTGCGACCGCTGAATTTTTCAAGAAGATGATTGTCATGGGTCATGATGAATGTCTTTGGCTCTTTTACATCTATGTTGTTGTTTCCCTCATCAACGTATTTATTTATTGACATTCAAGTCCTACGGTTTTCGGTCTTTGGTCTTTGGTCCTCGGTCCGCTTGCCCTGTTTGGGCCAACCTTGCCTAGCCAGTGCAGCAGCAGCAGCAGCAGAGGTGCCTGTCCAGGGTTGGGATGGGTCATGTAGGGGGTCCTTGTTTAGATAATGATATCTTTTAAGGAAGTCCTTGTGAACGCTTTCGCGCCTGGAGGAAGCAACCATTCCATTTTGAAATGAGCTCGCCTTTTGCATTCCGGACCTTGGAAACCACAAACCAAAAAGTGGTTCCACCTGGCCTCTTAGATTTGCCACATCTAACCGATTCTTCAGAAAATTAAATGAAGCCGCGGGTGGCTCGAAGGTTGTATAGGTGTCTTCCCGCAGCATTGCGTCCAGTTCATCCTCTGATTCTTGAATCTTCAGCATGTCGTATGCATCCCCTGGCTTCCCAACGTTTGGCGCAAACACTATGGCTGCCACATTCTCGGGTGCAGCGCTAACCGCATTGGCAATGATGGAGACAGTGGGCTGGGCGTTTGCAAACCAATGGACGCCCAGCTTGCCAAAGCAAGCAATGTGAAGGCGCAAGGCTTCGCAGCTGGAAATCCCCTCGCTTACTGCAAAAGAGACCATTACTTCATCGACATAGGGCAGAACCCCAGCTTCACTGGTGCGCCTGCATGGCATCCAGTGGTTTGAGAAAGTGTTTGTTGCAGCAGCCAAGGCTTGCTCCAGGTACAAGTTTGCAGCAACCTTTTCCTCATTCTGCCTTGCATGGAACAGTTGCAGCTGCCAGGTGTAGTCAGAAAACATAGCGACCTCTTTTGCCAGCCTGGATTGAAACAAATTGAATTCAGCCTGCTCTTTCGCGCGCTCAGGTTCCTGCGTTCCATCACCAAGAACCGAGGAACCAAGAACCGAGGAACCAAGAACCGAAGACCGAATGAACCGAAAATCCAATGCCTCTGGCTCCATAAGCTTGAGCTTCTCCCCAACTTGTGGCATGAGACTTCCTTTCTGGAAGGAAATGGCCGAAAAGAGAAGCCTGGTCATGGGGCAATGGATAATTGAAGTTTGAGCGAAACCTGTTGGCCATACTTTTCAAGGATACATTCTTGCTTGCCAAATGGGCTTCTTTCAAATTCTTCAGGAAAATTCCAATAGCCCGAAGCAACCAGTAGCAGTAGTAGCTCTTAGCTGGGGTCCAAAGAAGATGTTTGTCCACAAGATTTTGACACCAGAACGAATCTGCTTTGTGTCTGGTGGGAGGTCTGGATTTGCCCAAATTTTCAAAGAGACTGCGGATCCAGCAAATTTTGAAATTTGGCCACTGGTACTCCAGAAGCTGGGTGGATTCCGGGGCTTGGTGGATATACAGTTTGATGAGCGCCTTTTCTGGCTGTGAAATCGCTACGGCTTCCGTGCGCCCTTTGTTGTATGCCTGAATGCGTTGGTCAATGACAGCAGCAAAATTCAAACCCTGACCACGCAGCAGGTCTGACCATTTGCAAGCTACCATCCGAGGGTCTGGTCGGGATCGCTCAGCCATTCAACTTTTGAATCACAAGCTTCGCGTGAACTGCTGTTCCTCTGTGGCAGATGGTTCAGAAGCGGCCTTCATCCGCAACAAGGCTTTCAAGACATCTGAAATTGCCACAGGATCTAGATCACTGAGGCCAAGCCGCAGGGTGCATTCCAAAATGATTCGGCATGCGCTAATTCTCCCCATTCCAATCGCATGAGCCATGGACCAATCACCCACAGGATCACCAGGGCGGGCTCCTGGAGAAAACAGCAAGCCAAGGTTCCCTTTCAGAGCGATATGGGCTGACCAAGAAATGTGACACAGTATCCTCAGCTGCAAGTA